TTGAGGTGAGACATGAGGAGGGAATTCTTTGGTGTGAGGGTGGTGAGAGCCTGGCCCAGGTTGCCCAGGGAAGCTGTGGCTGCCCCATCCCTGGCAGTGTTGAAGGGCAGGTTGGATGGGGCTTGGAGCAGCCTGGGCTGCTGGGAGGTGTCCCTGCCCATGCAGGGGGGTTGGAACTTGAAGATCTTTAAGGTCCCTCCAACCCAACCCAGTCTGGGATTTGATAAAGGAGGTTGAACAAGCTGTTCTCCTCCCTGGTGGCAACTACACACAGTGTAACCTGGTGGTGCTGAGTTGACACTTGGACTCGATCACCTTCCAGGTTCTCTCCAACCCAAACAATTCCAAGCCCCTCTGGGCCCCCCCAGCCCCTCCCAGGACACGCACCAGGCGGAAGGAGCGGAGCACGGACAGACCCTGCACGTTGGCCAGACCCAGCTCCACCAGGCTCAGGGTGACAATGAAGCTGTCAAAGATATTCCAGCCCTGCTGGAAATACTCGTAGGGATCCAGAGCAATGAGCTTCAGGACCATCTCTGCCGTGAAGATCCCCGTGAAGACCTGTGGGCAACAACGTTCCATCAGCTTGAGAGCCCTTCCTTGAGGTGGGAGAAGGTCCCTCTGAGATGTTCCCCAAGTCTCTCATCCCACTGGGTCCAGCCCTGGTGGAGAAGGAGCTCCCCAGCTGCTGCCCAGTGTGGCTTGTTAAGCCAAACTGGGAGCACTGGGCCCTAAATGCTACTGGAGGGACTGGGCAGAGGTGGGTGTTGGCAGGTGGGAATTAAAAATCAAAGTCTTGTTAGCAAAGGGACCCCTGGAAGTCCCTGGGGGGGCCCTGGGGGTCCCAGTACTGGGAACTGGGCTGCTACTGGGATGTCCCTGCCCCTCCCTGAGCCCTGGGAAACCTGATCCAGCTCCTACACCTTCTGCTTTCCCCGGACTACAGCCCTGGGCAGGATTCCCAGAAGCAGCAGGGTGACAATTAACATCCTTGATGCCACCTCATGACCTGGCAGGTGCAGAGGGGACCTGGTGACAGATTTTGCCCCGGGTGTGGCTCCAGCTGGGATGCCCAGGTCCTTGGCTCCACAGTGCAGTAAAGCTCCTGTGCTGGCATCCCAGGGGATGCTCCCTGACATGTCCCCTGGCCTGGCAGCCCTTCCCTGCTCCTGCCCTGGTAGTCCCAGCTCTGCCTTCCCAGCCTGCCCATCTGGGGGAGCATTTTGAGGCTGGAGGGTGGATTTGGGTTGGATTTTGGGGGGGGGGGAAAGTCTGTGCTGTGAGGGTGGTGAGAGCCTGGCTCAGGTTGCCCAGGGAAGCTGTGGCTGCCCCATCCCTGGCAGTGTTGAAGGGCAGGTTGGATGGGGCTTGGAGCAGCCTGGGCTGGTGGGAGGTGTCCCTGCCCATGCAGGGGGTTGGATCTAAGTGATCTTTAAGGTCCCTTCCAACCCAAACCAGTTGGATTCTATGATCTTTCTGCCCACAACCCTTCCTGCTTTCACCCTGGGCACAGGCAGGATATGTGGGAGGGAGACCAGGGCTCAGAGGAACCTGCTTCTCCTGCCCCATCCCTCCCTGGCTCTTCCCCAGCAGCCCCCCCAGCCCAGCAGGCTGAAGCTGCTGGATCACGTCCCTGCTCCCAACAAGTGCTGATTAATCCCCTTGTATTTCCTGAAGGAAACTGGAGCCAAGGCCACCACGTGCCAAGTGTCACCCTGCCTGCCTGGGGTGCCTGTCACCCCAGTGCCTGGGCATGGAGAGGCCCCACCAGGTGCTGGAGCAGGATGAGGTGCCAGGAGAGGAGACAAGGAGGTCTCCCAACCTGAGCTTTCCCATCCCAAGCTCCTCCATCCCTTCAGCAGCATTTCCCAGAGCTACCAGGGACTTCCTGGACTTGTTGCCCCCAGCCAAAGGCCATTTAGCCCAAGCTCCAAGGAGGTCCACCCTTGACTGGTTGCTAAACCCACCCATGACATCAGGACAGCCCAGACCTGCAGTGATTTCATGGGGAAAAGTCATTCTGAGGAGGATTAGTAGCTTTTCATGCTGTTGCCTCCTGCTTTCTGGGGACCTGTTTGCTCCCATCTGTGCCCACCCAAGATGGTGAGGACACCAGGGCTGGCAGCTCGTGCCTGCCCTTGGGTGGCCATGTAGGAGCTGGCCCAGGTCAGCTCTGCCAGGCTGTGGCCACGTTGGCACCACCAAGATGGAAACCACAGCAGAAGTGAGGCAAGAGGCAGTGGGTCCCACCTCCAACTCAGTTCCCTTGACCTGGAGACCAACCCATGGCAGGGGTGCTGGGATCAGACCCCTGCAGATCTTTCCCAGCAGCTGGGACCTGTTTCCAGGTGTGCATGGTGTTCAGGTGGCAGCAGAGGGGACCTGCCCAGCAGGGTGGCTGCTGTGGCTCCAGGCAGGGCAGGTGAGACACCTACCAGGTTCCCCACAGACAGCACGTTCTCAAACTCCTCTGTCATGGGATAATGCTCCATTGCCATGAAGAGGGTGTTGAGGACAATGCAGATGGTGATGCCCAGGTCCACAAAAGGGTCCATCACCACCAACTTGACAAACTCCTTCAGCTTCACCCATGGAAGGCAGCAGTTCCAGACCAGGAAGGTGTGGGCAAATTTGTACCACCAGGGTGGACATTTCTGGTGAGCTTCCTCCAGCTCTGTGGGCAGGGAAGAGAAATGACATCAGTGTGGGCTTCTTGTGGCCTCACTGGGGTGGGGCAAGTGATAACTCACTAGATGTGACCTCTCCTGAGGTCCTGAACCAGCCCTAGACCATCTCTGAGTAGAATATGGGGGCTAAAAGGAGGAGGCAGAGTGATGGTCTGGACCTCACCCTCCAAATTAAAGAGGGTTGGAGAAGAAGATCCACCAGGGAACTGTGGGTCCAATCCAGCTCCCAGCACCTGGGCAGGATTTGTCCCCACCACACCAAGACTGCAGGGACACCCAAGAGACCTGCTCTGGGGTGGCCAAAGACTTTGGTGCCCATTCCCAAGGGAGGACAGGGCTGAGAAACCAGTAATTGCTGAGTCTGTGGACCTTGGGGCTGCAGCTGAACCAGGAGCTCTTGGGAAGCCACTCAGTGGCTCTTGGTTGACCCTGGAGACCACTGTCCTCAACTGCAACCCCATCCATTCACAAGAGATAGATCAGCATTGTCTCCAGGCACCATCCAAAGCAGGTTGGGATGACAAACCTTGCTTGGGTCTCACCAAACCCGTATGGAGACCCCAGGTCCAGAGTGACCCCTTGGATGGGGCTGGAGATGAGGACCAGCTGCTTCCACTGGTGTGTCCCCAGCAGCCCAAGCCCACCCAGACACACCAGCTGGGCCAGGACTGGCACACACAGCCCTCACCCAGCCTGGGGAAGGACTTACCTTCCACAGCATTGGAGATGACACTGATGGCACTTCCCACCCTCTTCTCCAGGCCTGGCCCATCGTGGGTGCCCACAGTGAGGTGGTTGAGGTCTGGTTTCTCTGGCTCGTTGGGTGGGTCGAACTAGAAGGAGGGGAGGCCAAAGGGGATGAGAGCCCAGGGCACTGGGTGCACTTAGAGAAGAGGACACGGTCTGGGGAGACCTTGGGGTGCAGCAGGAGCTGCAGGTGGGCTTGGAGGACCCGGGCAACAGCAAGATGGGCACCAGATGGTCCCTCCCCAGGGTTTATTGGGGTGGGCTTCCTGAAGGTGCTTCTGAGGGAGCTGGGGGTGTCCAGCCTGGAGCCAAGGAGCTGAGGGGAGACCTGCTGGCTCTGCAGCTGCCTGAGAGGAGGTTGGAGCCAGGGGGGGTCGGGCTCTGCTCCCCAGGAACAAGGGGCAGGAGCAGAGGAACCGGCCTCAAGTTGTGCCAGGGGAGGCTGAGGTTGGACCTTGGGAACAGTTTCTCCCTGGCAAGGGTTGTCAGGGCCTGGCCCAGGCTGCCCAGGGCAGGGGGGGAGTCCCCATCCCTGGAGGGGTTTCCAAGCCCTGGAGATGGTGCTGAGGGACACGGGGCAGGGGTGGCCTGGGCAGGGCTGGGGGAAGGGTTGGGCTGGATGATCCTGAAGGTGTTTCCCAACCCAAGCCCTCCATGGGGCTGTGCCAGGGGTGGCAGGAGCAGCAGGTACCTGGATGATGGTTGCAGAGCGTTGCAGCACCAGCCTGGGCACCACCTGCCCGTTGCAGTCCTGCCCCTTCTCCTGGTCACTGTTCAGCTCTGAGTCAGGCTCCTTCTCGGCCAGGCTGCTGGGCAGGGACCCACTGCTGGACCTTCTGTCCTGCAACTGCACCAGCCCACGGCTCCATCACCCCTTGTCCACAGCCCTGGGCTCCTTCCCGTGGTGGCTGCAGGGCTGTGGAGAGGGAGGATGGAGCCCTAGGACCTTCCTGGGCAGGATCTGGGGACTCCTCCTGCTGCTGCAGGACCTGGGTGGTGAACTCTGATCCTCTGAGCAACGAGGAGGGAAGAAATTCTTCCCTGTGAGGGTGGTGAGAGCCTGGCCCAGGTTGCCCAGGGAAGCTGTGGCTGCCCCATCCCTGGCAGTGTTGAAGGGCAGGTTGGATGGGGCTTGGAGCAGCCTGGGCTGCTGGGAGGTGTCCCTGCCCATGCAGGGGGTTGGATCTAGATGATCTTTAAGGTCCCTCCAACCCAAACCATCCCATGATTCTATGAAAACAATGACTGAAGATGGGAACTGGTCAGGCAGCACCATCTGACATCACAGAAGGTTTTGCCCAGGTTTTTAGGGGAATATTGTGCTGAAGAGACACTCCCAAGGGGCAGAGAGAGGTGGAGGTGGCACCTCAGGACTGCAGTGGAGCAAACAAGGGGACACCAGGCAGCCTTAGACACCACCAGCTTGGAGAAACACCAGAGCAAACCTTCCACAGCACCACGCCTGAGTATCTGCTGGTGTCCTGGGGGAGAGAGCCCAGGAGCTGTGCCTTGGCTCCTGCAAGGCCACCAGGACCTCCCTGGGCCAGGTCCCTCCAGCCTTCACTGCTGCCTTGGCCAAAACCCAATGGTTTGCTGATGCCACAGCCTTGTGTTCCTCAAGGGCTTGTTTGGAGCCCTGGTCACACCCTGCCCAGGCAGGTCCTCTGCCAGCTTCCCTGCTCTCTACCTGCTGCAGGAAGACACCTGCTTAGTTCTGGGGCCTTTTCCTCCTCATTTCCCACCTCCTCCTCTGGGCTGGACCTCTCTGCTGCCTCCCAGTGCTCCCTGTCCTGGGTTTGGGGTGTGGAAAGGAATTTTTTTGGCCTTTTTGCCCCCACCCAGCATATGATCCCCATTTGTTTTACTCCATTGTGACCCTCGAAACAGTTACTCAATAATTATCTCGACCTACTCTGGGCCTTATTCTTGGCTGTTACCTAGAGGAACCACCACCCTTGTCCCTACCCCTCCTGTTCCTGAGGTTTTGACCTCCACCCTTCCCACCCACCAGCTTCTCCTGCTCCTCCTGTTGCTTCTTCAGCTGCTCCAGGAGCTGCTGGAACTCCTCCTCCTTCTGCTGCTCCTCCAGCATCGTGGCGTTGTTCTGCTCCTCGTAGGCCATGGCCACCACAGCCAGGATGAGGTTGATGAGGTAGAAGGACCCCAGGAATATCACCACCACGAAGAAGATCATGTAGGTTTTCCCTGCCGAGCGCAGCGTCTGCGGGAGGAGACACAGGCTGGGGCACCACCTTGGCAGGACATGGGGTTGGTGATGCCTCCAATGGAAGGTCTTGCACCAAGGGCATCCTCCCATCTGTGGTGGGAATGAGCTGGTTTGCTCCTAGCTTCCCCCCAGGGCTGGTCATTGACCAGTGCTCTGGGTGAGGGGACTGGTGTGAAGTGGACACGAGTCCCATCAAACCCAACCCTGCTGCTCCACGCTCACTGGGAGCCCAAGGGCTGCAACCTGACCTGGAGCTGGGACCAAGGTCTCAACAGGGACTCGATTTGCTGTGATGTCTCTCAGCCCCCAACTTCACCCTTCAGCCAAGAGTGGTCCTTTTCTAACTCCAGATCTGGGCACAGTCATTTCCAGAGGCCACGAGTAGCTTTAACCAGTCTCCAGACCCAGGGTCAGCTGGGATTTCATGGGGCCACCAACTTCCCCCTTAGAGAAGGACTCAATCCAGGGCACAAGTGACCTGGCTTGTCCCCCTTCCCCTCTCCCTTAGCTCAAGCTGGAGATGGACCAGATACTCCAACAAATCCCTGATACCCATGACACAAACCCCATCCCACTTGGGCTTTGTCTTGGAAAATGGGATGGGACCGTGTCCCATCTCTGCTGATCCCAGTTAGATCCATCAACCACAGGACAAAGTCCCACAGGTTTCCATTCAAGTGACTTTTTACCTGCCCGAGACCAGGGACAAGAGAGAAGTGCGAGGAGCACCAGGATAGGAATGGGGTGCCTACCAGCTGGAAGAGGTTCTCCCAGAAGTCCTGTGTCATGAGGCGGAAGAGGGCAAGGAAGGCCCAGCTGAAGGTGTCGTAGCTGGTGTAGCCATAGTTGGGGTTCCTCCCAGCCTTCATGCACGTGTACCCCTCGGGGCACTTCCTGCCAGAGGAGCCACAGGGCAGCCAGAGTGAGACCCCAGCCCTCCTGCCACCCCAGCCCTGGAGATGCTTCAGCAGAACCTTCCCCACCCCAGGCGACACGGGATGCCTGGAGTGATGCCACCTTCCCCAGAGCTGACACCCTTGGGTCAGACCAGTATCCTCCCAGTTGGGTACAGCTGGGATGCCTGGACTGATTCCACCCCCTCCAGTCTGAGAGCCTGGCCCAGGTTGCCCAGGGAAGCTGTGGCTGCCCCATCCCTGGCAGTGTTGAAGGGCAGGTTGGATGGGGCTTGGAGCAGCCTGGGCTGGTGGGAGGTGTCCCTGCCCATGCAGGGGGGTTGGATCTAGATGATCTTGAAGGTCTCTTCCCACCCAAACCATTCCCATAGGATGCACTGGATGCCTGGTCCCCTCCAGGGGAGCCAGAAGGGCCAGAGGCCACCAGCAGGAGCTGCACTCACCCAGCATCACTGCTGTTCCCACAGAGCAGGGCGTCCAACGCTCCCTCCAGAAAGTAGAAGTTGGCTTTGGGGTTGGGGAAAGAACAAGACATCAATAAAATCAACATGAACATTGAGTTTGGAGTTCCTGGCAGCTCTGGGCTCTCAGGTCACTGGGTTTTGTCCTCTCTGCTGACGTTGCTGTTGGCATTGAACTACTTGGCACTGGCTCAAAGAGCTCCTCCTCCCACCCAACCCCACGGCCATAACCCCATAGCCATAACCCCATGGCCCTCTGGAACCAGCCTGACAGGCCAGGACTTGTTCTCCTGAGGACGTGGGTGATCAAAAGTCCAAGGCTGGTTGGTTTGCCTGGATTTAGTCTCCCTGTGGTGACCAGCAAGATGGAGCAGATTTGCCCACCCTGATGGCTGTGCCCTCCCTAGCAGGTGGGAGAGGTGGAGACACCAGATTATCCAGGTCTTCTCATGGTGAAACCTTTCTGGAGGAGCTCAGCTTGCCCTGGAGGGCTGTGTTTTCCCTGGCCAGGAGGATTTGATCCCACATGTCCATATTTGAGCACACACAGCTCCTGCTTCACCCACCGACCACATCCCCCCGCAAGGCACCTTGGCGAGCAGATCTGGGTGGACAAACCACTTTGGTCTGACACAGAGGAAGAGTGAGGAAACCAGGGAGAAAACCAGGGTGGTGGGTCAACAGAGAAGGAGATGGACAAGCATTTACCTTCATCATTGATGTAGGCCTCGAAGTCAAAGGTGCTGTTGGTGGTGAAGTTGGTGGTGAAGTTGCTGATGATGCCGTCAGTGAAGTTGCCGACGATCCCGTCGGTGAAGTTGCCATAGAAGGCTGAGTTGGCCAAGGTGTCATTGTCCAGCCCCAGGTCCCCCAGCAGGGTGTCGTTGAGGGGTGGCCACCTCACACACTTCTGCCTGAGGTTCCCCATGAAGAGCTGGAGGCCGATGAGGGCGAACACGCTCAGGCAGAAGACAGTGAGGATCATGACATCTGAGAGCTTCTTCACCGACTGGATCAGGGCCCCAACGATGGTCTTCAGCCCTAGGGAGGAGGTGCCACTACTCACTCAGCTAATTGCCTGTTTGCTGGTTGTGGAGAACATGTTCCCCAAGGGTGCTGGATCTGCTGGGGAGCTCGTGGTGTCACCATGTGCTCAGAACCTCCATGTCACATCCCAGCTGCTCCCCCCCAAAAACCCGTCACCCTTGGACCAGCACCAGCCAAGCCTCCCCACATCAATCTTGACCTGGATACCACAACCCAAAGTCCACCATCAGTTCCTTTGAAAAGCTCTTTGCCAGCCCAGCTGGAAGGTGCTGAGCACCAATCTCAGCTCCAGAAAGGCCTCCATGGTCCAACACCCCCACGTGCTCCGTGGCTGGTTGGAAGCTGGTTGGACCCTCCAACCTGATCCCTTCAAGTCAGAGAAACTCAAAAATGGCCAAGAGAAGGGGACAAAGTGACATCTGTATTAAGCATTGGGATTAACTCATCTCCCCACCCCAGCATCAGTGTTTCCACCACACAAGAAGCTCAACCACAGACCCTTGGTGGCCTTTTGACATGAAGGACACCCTTCCCCTCACCCAAGGTCTACATGGAGGATGCTGCCCAGGGAAGCTGTGGCTGCCCCATCCCTGGCAGTGTTGAAGGGCAGGTTGGATGGGGCTTGGAGCAGCCTGGGCTGGTGGGAGGTGTCCCTGCCCATGCAGGGGGGTGGATCTAGATGATCTTTGAGGTCCCTTCCAACCCCGACCACTCTATGATTCTATTTATTGTTTGATCAAGCTCATAAACAACGTAAGCACAAACCCACTGATGAAGACGTCTCCAAGGAGCCCCAAAAACTCCATGTCTGGCTCATCAGGGGCCAAAGAACTGAGTGAGCACCACTAAGGTCAAGATGTCCAACCAGCAGGACCTGACCCAAAAGCTGAATGACGCGGAAAATTGTTTTTAAGTATCAAGTATCTTATTCCCTCTGTTTCCTCTCCGAGCTGAACAAGGAATTGCTGTGAACTTTGTGACCACCTGCACCCAAGGACGGGGAAGATGTGGAGAGGAGACCACTCCTCCAAGTCCCACCTGGTATCACAGTGATGGTTTTCAAGGCACGGAGGACGCGGAAGGTCCGGAGAGCAGAGATGTTCCCCAGGTCCACGAACTCAGTGATGTAGCTGCAGGACAGAGAAGAAAGGGCTCCCAAGGGCTCTGCCAGGCACCCACCACCCTGCTCCTCAGCTCTCCTCCCCAGGGTCGTGTCCTGAACCCCCCAGATGCAGTGGCCAAGCCTCCTGTCCTCCCTCCACCCCACCCAACTCACGCCATGGAGATGACCATGAAGTCCAGCCAGTTCCATGGGTCTCGCAGGAATGTGAAGTCATCGATGCAGAAGCCCCTGGACAGTATCTTGATGAGGGACTCAAAGGTGTAGATCCCAGTGAAGGTGTATCTAGAAGGGGAATGGTGACTCAGGGGATGCTCACCTGGGTCCAAGGCCCAGCTCAGGAGGAGGTTTTGTCCATCTCTATCAGTGGGATCATCCTGGGGAGCTGAGTTTGGGGGCTGATGGGTTCTTGGGGGGCTTCAGCACTTGGGGAGGGTTTCAGCTCATAAGGGAATTTGGGACATCTTGAGGTCACCAATCCCTGTGATGACCATTCTGCAACACCTCTGACCCACGCTGCTGTCCCACCACCCACTCTGTGGAACCCTCCTGAGACCTGATTGTGCAGGACCATGACAGGAAATGTTGGGTTTCCCCCTTCCCACCTGGGGCTGGTTGGTTGTCCAGGTGGGACAGGTGGATCTGCTCAGCATCTCCACACTATCAGCTGTCAACCCAACCTGCTCTAGGGTGGTCTCTCCTGTCACAGGGACCCCACCAGATTTTGGGCAGCTCTAAAAAACTCCCAACTCTTCGTGAGGCAGAGGTTGGACATCCCTTCTGAGATAGGGCCACCAGCACCTCCCAGTGACACCTCTCCTCCTCTGAAGGGTGCAGGGATCCCAACACCCCTCTGTCCTGAGGATGGCCAAGCTGGGATGGACCCAGGGATGCCTGGGGGAGGTCATGGGAGACAAGGACTCACTCCACGTTCTTGGACCACGCCGGGGGGTTGCTCAGGGTCATGAAGACACAGTTGGTTAAAATGGTGATCATGATGAACATGCTGAATAATTTAAAACCTGGTCAAGGAGAAACGTTATGGCCACTGCCCAGACCTCCCCCCACTCACAGTTATGAACATCCCTCTGAGTTCCCCAGTTCTGGCCCCTGCTCCCCACCCCATGTCCATGGTGGTGGCTCTGCCTCCCTTCTTGTCCCCTCTGCTCCTTCCTCTCCATCAGCCCAGGTCGTGACTTTCTTCTCTTCTCTGATCCCTCTCCCACCCATCTCCCCTCTTTTTCCTCCTATCTCTGGGCCACCAACCCCTGCTGCAACCAGAGCTCTTCTGGAATTCCCACACATCCAAGTGCTCTTCTTGCTCTTGGGGTCCTTTCCTGTCTTACCACCTCTACTTGCCCCACACCAAGAGCCCCAGCACTGCCCAAACGACCTCCTTCCCTGTATCCAATGTCCTGGTTCCTCTGCCTTCCATCTCCCAAGGCATCCTTGAAGCTCCTGATTCACCCACGTCCCAGATGGGATGGGACCCCCTGACCTTTAAACACTTCCTTTCCTCTCCAAGACCTCAGAGACCTTCAACCCCTTCCTAGGAAGCTCCACCACTTGGGTTCCTTCCCTCCTCCAACCAAACAGGTTTGTCCCATTTCCAACTAAGATTCAGCTCTTGGTGTCACCAAGATGCTTAAAGCCTTCAAGAGGAGCCCAAAGCCCTGGGATGGCCCTGGCCATGGTGGGGTCCAGCCCAGGAGATCTGCCCACCACGCCATCATCAAACACTTCATTCAGCCCCCTCCAAGAGCTCTTTGCTCCCTGAGCACCAACCAGGGCTCGACCTGAGCATCCCAGAGGACAAGGATATGAATGGATGAGCACTTTGATGGCTCCTCTGCGGATGGGGTGGAAGGGCCCCAGCAGGTAGAGGGCAGGGGTGGCCGAGAAGCGGAAGATGGACTTCCCTTTGTTGAGGACTATGAAGGTCTGTGGAGAGAAGAGAGGAAGGAGAAGAGTCAGGCCCCTTCTGCACCCCCCCCGAACACTCGTGGCTCCAGTGCTGCCGTGAGAGGTGAGACCTCTTTGTGTGCCTTGGACCTCCAAAGGCTCAGAGCTTGGCCAAGGAACACGCTCTGCCTCAAAGGTGAAGCAACCCCAGCAGTGTGAGGTTGTGGGTCACCAGAGTGGGCTGACCTGAGACCCTGGGGCACGATGGACAGAAGAGCAAGTCCATGCTTTGGTCTTCTCCTTGGACCTCCCATCAGTTCCAAACCTAACCTCCCCCCCAGTCACCTTCTTATCCTTGTAGAAAGGGTCCAAATCCTCCAGGGGGGTCCCGATGAGCTCCGGGGGTGGGTCACCATAGATGAGGGGCAGGTTCTTGCCAGCTTCCAGGTCACTGCTGGGTTTGACCTCCTCTTCCTCGGGCAGCTCCACCTGCTGCCTCTTGATCCTCAGAGCCTCAGCCTCGGCCGCGCGCTGCTCGATGGCGGCCAGCGAGGCGGGGGTGAAGGGCTGGAGGTCCTGGGGGCCTGGGATGTGGGGCAGGCCGGCCATCCTCTCATTCTGCTGCCGGCCCACCCGCGCCCAGCCTGCGGGGAGAGAGGGGCTGAGGAGGAGCCACCAGCTCCAGCCCCTTTGGGGGGGATGTTTTTTACCAGCCAACAACCCCAACTCTACCAGCCAACAACCCCAACTCTACCAGCCAACAACCCCAACTCTACCAGCCAACAACCCCAACTCTACCAGCCAACAACCCCAACTCTACCAGCCAACAACCCCAACTCTACCAGCCAACAACCCCAACTCTACCAGCCAACAACCCCAACTCTACCAGCCAACAACCCCAACTCTACCAGCCAACAACCCCAACTCTACCAGCCACCAACCCCAACTCTACCAGCCACCAACCCCAACTCTACCAGCCACCAACCCAGCTCTACCAGCCACCAACCCAGCTCTACCAACCATCAACCCAACTCTACCAGCCATCAACCCCAACTCTACCAGCCATCAACCCCAACTCTACCAGCCAACACCCCCAACTCTACCAGCCATCACCCCAACTCTACCAGCCAACACCCCAACTCTACCAGCCACCAACCCAACTCTACCAAGTCTGGTGCTTAAACCATGTTCCTAAATGGTTTTGCTCAAGCCATGAAGCCAGGCGCTGGCAGGATCTCAGGGGGGTTTGCAAATGGGTTTGTTGGAGAAAGATTGAACCTGCAAGAAGGGTTCTGGTGCATGGAAAGCCTGTGGCTGGAGCACCCTGCCTGCTCCTCCTCCTCCCAGACCCCCAGCTAAAAGCACCATTGGGTTGGGCACCACATGAGCTGGGCAGTTGGTGTCCCCTGGCCCCAGCTGCTGTTGGATGTGGAATTTACCAACCTAGGCAGGGTCATTCACCAAAGTCAAATACCTTCAGCAGCAGCAGCTCCAGCTGTATCACCTTTCCTCCTGCACCTTGTGGTGCTCAAAGCAAGAGAGACTTGAGAGCAGCTTCCAGAGCCTGAAGGGGCTCCAGAAAAGCTGGGGAGGGGCTTGGGACAAGGGCAGGGAGGGATGGGATGAGGGGGATGGATGAAAACTGGGAGAGGGAGATTGAGGTGAGACATGAGGAGGGAATTCTTTGGTGTGAGGGTGGTGAGAGCCTGGCCCAGGTTGCCCAGGGAAGCTGTGGCTGCCCCATCCCTGGCAGTGTTGAAGGGCAGGTTGGATGAGGTTTGGAGCAGCCTGGGCTGCTGGGAGGTGTCCCTGCCCATGGGGGGGGTTGGAGCTACATGATCCCTTTCAACCCAAACCATTCCATGATTCTATTAACTTCTTCAGCCCAAGGAGCTTGGTCCTGCAGGGCTGGTGGCCACATGACACCACTGGACACCCCTCCATAGGAGACATGAGTAACCTGCAGTGGTGGAGGACTCTGCTCCCAAGAGGAAGGGGTTAAAGTTTTATCTTGAACCAAAAGGCAAGACAATAATGGCACTTTCTAATGTTACTGGCTCAGGATGACTCCCCACACAGGAATAGGACCATCCAGGAGAGATAAGGGTGGCTCCAGGAGAACAACAGAGGCTGGAGAGAGCAAAGTGGGGACCAGATGGGCGGTTGCACCTAGAAGAGCAGCCCCAGGAGAGTCCAAAACACCTGACAAAAGCTTCCCAGACACCAGAAAGGTTCTTCCTTGGAGTCACCTCACCCCGAGATCTGTTTGACACCAGCTCGTGTCACAGATGAGCCCAAAATGTTGTAACCCATGATCCCACTTCCCAGGGATCCTGGGCCAGAGGCACCTCTGGGCTTCACCCCTCACAACCAGCATCTCCTGCAGGCACCAAAACTGGACGTGATGCTGCAGAAAAAGCTTTAGGATCAATTCTCTCCATGACATTGAGAGCTGGAGACCTTCAACCCTTGGTCATGAAGAGCTGGGCAATGATAGCCCTGCTGGGAAGGGAGGCACATGATGGTATCAGCACCTTCCTGAGCTGATGAGAAACCAAGAGATCAAAACCAGGGCCCAGGGAGGGGTGGATTTCCAGCAGAGCCAGAGAAGAACCCTTCAGAACCTGCTGGATTTCTTCTGCTGGGCAAAAAGGTCTCACTCCTGCCTCAGGGGGGTGGTTTTCACCACTCCCATCACATCCAGCCCAAGGGATGAAGGAGGAACCAGCCCCAAGTGCAACATCTCTTGGGAAGAGGCCACCTTGGTGGGGCTGTTTCAACAGCCCCTTCATGGCTCCAGGCTCTGACACCTTCAAAGGAAGAGGGTTGGGAGCAACTTGTTGCCTTTTGGGATGGGACAACCTTGAAGAAACAAAACAGTCAAGTGGGAGGGCAAGAATGGGGTTTTTTTGCATTTAAACCTGATTTAGAAGAGGGGGAGCTTTGTCCTGCTGCAGGACAGAGACCCTGGCCCAGCCCCACCTGGGGGTCCCCAGGGGTGGCACCTCAGGGAAGGCAGCCAAAGGGGAATCTCTGCCCCCCATCCCTGCCCGGGGACGGTGCCCACGGGCACCACTGGTGCTGCTTCTCACCCTGAGTCATTCTGGATTTACCCCCATTTCCCTCCTTGCCTGCCCAGCTCTGGGAGCCTGCCCTGATGCCAGTGGCCTCCAAGCTCCAGCCAAGGGCATGGGCTGAGATCCAGGTGCCCCTGACTCTGTCCCCCCAAGTCCCACCAGGGATGCACCTTCAAGCAGGACCCCCAGCAGGACCAGCCCACCCCACTGTTCTGGTTGCAAAAGACATTTAAGATCACCTAGTCCAACCATAACCTAACTTGACCAGCCACACCCTGACTCTACCAACCATTAACCCAACTCTCCCAGCCCCAGGGCTAACCCATGTCCCTCAGCACCACATCTCTGAACCCCCCCCAGGGATGGGGACCCAACCACCTCCCTGGGCCAGTGTCTGAGAACCCTTCCAGTGAAGAAGTTCAATACCCAACCTAAACCTCCCCTGGTGCAACCATTTCCTCTTCTCCTGGGGACTCTGAGGCCCCGCAGGAGCTGGTTGGTCCCAGCAGCCTCAGTTTCCCTGGAAGGAGGGTTTTGCAGAGCTGCTGGGGCACGTCACGGGCAGTGCCAGCTGCAGGGCTCCAGCAGCACCCTGCTCTCCAGGGCTTTGGTGCTCAGGGTGCTCCATGGTCCACGTCTTCCCCAGAGCCTCCTGCTGCCCCTGCAGCCCCCCAGCAGTGCCATGTCCCCAGCCTGCTGTCCCAGCCGAGGTGGCAGCATCTCCAGCTGCCACCAGCCATCACGGCAGGAGTCAAGGTTCTGCACCACTCCCATCACATCCAGCCCAAGGGATGAAGGAGGAACCAGCCCCAAGTGCAACATCTCTTGGGAAGAGGCCACCTTGGTGGGGCTGTTTCAACAGCCCCTTCATGGCTCCAGGCTCTGACACCTTCAAAGGAAGAGGGTTGGGAGCAACTTGTTGCCTTTTGGGATGGGACAACCTTGAAGAAACAAAACAGTCAAGTGGGAGGGCAAGAATGGGGTTTTTTTGCATTTAAACCTGATTTAGAAGAGGGGGAGCTTTGTCCTGCTGCAGGACAGAGACCCTGGCCCAGCCCCACCTGGGGGTCCCCAGGGGTGGCACCTCAGGGAAGGCAGCCAAAGGGGAATCTCTGCCCCCCATCCCTGCCCGGGGACGGTGCCCACGGGCACCACTGGTGCTGCTTCTCACCCTGAGTCATTCTGGATTTACCCCCATTTCCCTCCTTGCCTGCCCAGCTCTGGGAGCCTGCCCTGATGCCAGTGGCCTCCAAGCTCCAGCCAAGGGCATGGGCTGAGATCCAGGTGCCCCTGACTCTGTCCCCCCAAGTCCCACCAGGGATGCACCTTCAAGCAGGACCCCCAGCAGGACCAGCCCACCCCACTGTTCTGGTTGCAAAAGACATTTAAGATCACCTAGTCCAACCATAACCTAACTTGACCAGCCACACCCTGACTCTACCAACCATTAACCCAACTCTCCCAGCCCCAGGGCTAACCCATGTCCCTCAGCACCACATCTCTGAACCCCCCCCAGGGATGGGGACCCAACCACCTCCCTGGGCCAGTGTCTGAGAACCCTTCCAGTGAAGAAGTTCAATACCCAACCTAAACCTCCCCTGGTGCAACCATTTCCTCTTCTCCTGGGGACTCTGAGGCCCCACAGGAGCTGGTTGGTCCCAGCAGCCTCAGTTTCCCTGGAAGGAGGGTTTTGCAGAGCTGCTGGGGCATGTCACGGGCAGTGCCAGCTGCAGGGCTCCAGCAGCACCCTGCTCTCCAGGGCTTTGGTGCTCAGGGTGCTCCATGGTCCACGTCTTCCCCAGAGCCTCCTGCTGCCCCTGCAGCCCCCCAGCAGTGCCATGTCCCCAGCCTGCTGTCCCAGCCGAGGTGGCAGCATCTCCAGCTGCCACCAGCCATCACGGCAGGAGTCAAGGTTCTGCAAAAGACATTTAAGATCACCTAGTCCAACCATAACCTAACTTGACCAGCCACACCCTGACTCTACCAACCATTAACCCAACTCTCCCAGCCCCAGGGCTAACCCATGTCCCTCAGCACCACATCTCTGAACCCCCCCCAGGGATGGGGACCCAACCACCTCCCTGGGCCAGTGTCTGAGAACCCTTCCAGTGAAGAAGTTCAATACCCAACCTAAACCTCCCCTGGTGCAACCATTTCCTCTTCTCCTGGGGACTCTGAGGCCCCACAGGAGCTGGTTGGTCCCAGCAGCCTCAGTTTCCCTGGAAGGAGGGTTTTGCAGAGCTGCTGGGGCATGTCACGGGCAGTGCCAGCTGCAGGGCTCCAGCAGCACCCTGCTCTCCAGGGCTTTGGTGCTCAGGGTGCTCCATGGTCCACGTCTTCCCCAGAGCCTCCTGCTGCCCCTGCAGCCCCCCAGCAGTGCCATGTCCCCAGCCTGCTGTCCCAGCCCAGGTGGCAGCATCTCCAGCTGCCACCAGCCATCACGGCAGGAGTCAGGTTTCTGCAGCCCCATGACTCTGCTCATTCCTCTCTCTGGGCAGGAACCAGCAGCTCCCTTCAGCCCCGGGCTCCTCTTCCTCTCTCTGGCCTCCTCTTCCTCCCTCTGGGCTGAACCCATCCCCTGATCCAGCTGGTGGAGCAGCCCCAGCCATGAGGAGATGCTGGGGGGGTTTGGCAGCACCACCCAAGGCTGAGCTGGGGGGTCCCCCAAGGAGATGGTGCCCTGGGCATGGAAATGCTTTTTGGGGCCTTTTGGAGGATCTGGTCCCTCTCTGACCCCACCCAGAGATGACCCCAAGGAGCAGAACTGCAGCCAAGATCCACCTCCTGCCCATGGCAGCCCTGGAGCCACCAGCATCTCCAGCCCATCCCTGCTTCCCAGAAGAGGAGCCAAGAACCAGCACAGGGACCTGCAGGGACCTTTCCCAGTCAGCCCAGTGCCCACACCAGTCTGTGGGAGAACAGCACTGGGCAGAGAGCTGGGTCCCAGCACCCTGAGTGAAGCAGCTCCCCCTGGGACCCTCTGGGGTGGGGTTGGGATGAGCAGCCCCTCTGCTCCCACCCATCCTGCCACACGTGGGGCAACTGCCCCAAATAACCCAGTTCAGAGTCCCTGCCCCTCCTGGAGGTAAAAGAAGGTTGGGAGCAGCAAGAGGAGCTGCCCCCAGCACAGATCAGGTCACCCCCCAGGATCTGGGACCCCCAGGGTCCCCCATGAGATGCAGCCTCTTGTTCCATCAAAGAACCAGCCACTTGGAACCTCCCTCCAAAGTGCTGCTGAGCTGTTTCCTGAGCTGCCTTCTCCAGTTTTGGAGCCCCTGGGCAACCCCTTTGGTTTATTTACTGACCTGCTGCATTTGGACACACCACCCATGTCACCCCACGGATGAGCACCTCACCTCCCAGTTCAGCACCAGTAACTACCAGCAGGCAAGTGGGAGAAGCCCAGGAGAGTGGGGCCTTCAGCCTGGAATTCAGTTTCCTCTGATATTTTTGCTCCTCTGAGGCCAAATGAATCAGCCTCCAAAATAACAGGAGTTATGTTTGGTTTGGAGGCTACCAGAGATGCTGTGTAATAGGTTCTGGATAAGCAGGGCAGACAGAAGGGTGGCAAGGTCCTGCCTGAGAGCCACCCCCTCCAGAAGTGTCACTTCATCCCTGCAGAGAAAATAACCTCACGTGGGCTGAGGAAGAGGGGGAAGGGCTTCCTTGGCTGCTCAGTGCAGACAAGTGGCTGTGGGGGACTCAGGGTGTCTGGGTCCTGCTGGTCCCTGCAGGTGCTGAGCTCAGCCCATCACCCAGGGCACTGCTCCTCCCTGCCCAAGGCATGGCAAAGCCAGAGCCCCCCCAGCCTGGGAAGCCCAGGGAGATACACTTGGGGTGTCTGGGGTGAAGATTGTGCTCCTCCCGAGGGGTCTCAGCTCTGCAGGTCCTCAGAAGACACCAGTGAGGCCCTCTGAGCAGCTGCAGTGTTGCAGCAGGACCATGGAAGTCACCTTGAGGAGCTGCCCTCACCCACCTGCAAACCTGCCCTGGAGATCCATCCCTTGAACAGGAGACAATCTCCAACGTGTCCTTCACTCCCACCAGAACACACCAGTTTGGACACACAACCAACCTGAGGGGTCACCAGCAAGTGGAAATCAGCTTCACTCACCCAGAGGCAGCAGAGGCAGGTGATGCTCAGCCAAGTGTCCAGCACAGGGGGGTGGGAATGGACACCCTGCAGTGAGGGGTTTAGCTTGGACACAAGGAGCTCGGGCACCAAAGGCAGCAAGAAGGCACCTCCAGGAGGGTCCAGGGAGCCCAGAGTTGGCCCTTGTGACTCCAAGAAGTTGATGCTGGTGGAGATGAGGCAGCACCCAGGAGCTCAAGGGCTCTGGAAACCAAACCCTGTTGACCACACAGCTCAGATGCAGCTCAGGAAGTTCAACAGGAAAGCCAAGATCTGATGATGAGCAGGAGCTGAGGGCTCTGCTGGGGGAGCTCAGAGCTGGGGCAGTGATGCTGCTCTGCTGCCTCAGGAGAGGGTTGCAGAATCCTTCTTGCTTGGAAAAGACCTTGAAGCTCATCCAGCCCAACCCTTCCCCCAGCCCTGCCCAGGCCACCCCTGCCCCGTGTCCCTCAGCACCATCTCCAGGGCTTGGAAACCCCTCCAGGGATGGGGACTCCCCCCCTGCCCTGGGCAGCCTGGGCCAGGCCCTGACAACCCTTGCCAGGGAGAAACTGTTCCCAAGGTCCAACCTCAGCCTCCCCTGGCACAACTTGAGGCCATTTCCTCTGCTCCTGCCTGTTGGTTGCTGCCTTTTTTCAGGCAGAAGAAGGGGACAACTCCAAGCACAACCCTGCAGCCCCCCCTCCTCACTCCCTGCACCCCCAAATCCTCCTGGGACACCCAACCCCACCAGCAGCTGGAAGCCTGAGTGCCCCCAGGAGACCCCAACCCTCCCCATCCCTCCCTGATTTATCCCCAGGAGGACACCCAGGGTGGGGCAGGATGGTGCAACCAGGACCAGCTGGGACAGGGACCAGCTGGGACCGGCCGAAGGGTTTGGGGATGAGTCACATCCCAGTGGATGTTTCTCACTCACAGGCATCCCAAGTGCTGCTGCCCCCACCACCATCCAGCCTCCCCATTGCCACCCCATGGGTGTCCATCTCCTGACCCTGCTGCCCACCCCAGGAAGCCCTCACAGCAGGTCTCCCCCCCCAGCCCTTCATGCACTAAACAGGTTTGAAATCACCAAACCCTCACGGGCTGGGAGACCTGCTGGCAGGAGAACATGGGTTTGGTTCAAACCCAGCCCATGGGCATGGACACTCCGTGTGGTCATAGAGGGTTTATGTGTCCATGGAGGAGAAGGAGCTTTATGGGTCTGATTAAACACCAGAGTCCTTGTCAGCTCTGCTCTGGGGGTGCTGGCAGCCCAGGAACCAGCCCTGTCCTGGGCTGCATCCCCAGCACTGTGACCAGCAGGGCCAGGGGGGATTGTCCCCTCTGCTGAGCCCCCCCTGCAGGGCTGGGGCCAGTTCTGAGGTCCCAACACCAGAAGGACACGGAGCTCTTGGATAGAGTCCAGAGGAGCCACAGAGATCAACTGCAGAATCATTTTGGTTGGGAAAGACCTCAAAGATCAACCAGTCCCACCATTAACCTAACTCTACCAAGGCCACCCCTGCCCTGTGTCCCTCAGCACCATCTCCAGGGCTTGGAAACCCCTCCAGGGATGGGGACTCCCCCCCTGCCCTGGGCAGCCTGGGCCAGGCCCTGACAACCCTTGCCAGGGAGAAACTGTTCCCAAGGTCCAACCTCAGCCTCCCCTGGCACAACTTGAGGCCGGTTCCTCTGCTCCTGCCTGTTGGTCTCTGCCTTTTTCAGGCAGAAGAAGGGGACAACTCCAAGCACAACCCTGCAGCCCCCCCTCCTCACTCCCTGCACCCCCAAATCCTCCTGGGACACCCCAACCCCAACCCCCTCCTGCCCGGAGCTGCCTCCTCCATCCCCACCTGCCTCCCCACCCAGCCCTGCTGGACCCCTCGGAGGGGGAGGCTGGAAAGGGGACACTGGGGGTGGTTGGAGCTGTGGGTTGGGCTCCAGGGGGGGTTGGCTGTGGTGGAGGCTGGGGCAGGCAGGGAAGGGTTAAAGCAGGACCCTGCTCGCTGCCCACTTGGTGACATCCAAGCTCCTGCTGCAGCTCCCCTGTCCCCAGGAGCTGAGATGGAAGGGACTTGGTGGGGGAAGGGAGGGTCTCATGGGGCCACCAGGAGCTGCAGCCCCCCCAGGGGGTCCCCCAGACTGAGGCACATGGGAGTGAGGGGGGCAGTGGGGGACCCACCTCCCAGGGATGCCAGGAGGGACACAAGGGATGCCAGGAGGGATCACCCGCAGCCAGGGCTGCCATCAGGTCCCAGGACTGATGTTCCCACAGGATTTGCAGGGGTCCCTGCAGCACCCAGGGGCTGAGGGGTGCTGATTGCCCATCCTCTGCACCCCCATACCCCAAGCACCAACATCCCAAGCACCTGGCACCCCAGGACCAAGCTGGGTCACCTGCAGCCCCCCCCAGCCCCATGCCCAGTGCCAGGACCTGAGCCCAAACCTCTGGCTCCTCAGGGGATTCATCTGAACCCCCTTGGACCTGGAGAAGGGGAGAACTCCAAGGTGAGATGTTCCCAAGGGGCTGGGTAAATAACCCAGGAGGGAGCTGGACAAACAGACAGGGACAGACACCCTGCCCAGCATCTCCAGAGCTCATCTCATCTCCAGCTCTCCAGAGTTCTCACCTCCCACCTACAGCTGGGATCTTCACCCTCACAGCTCCCCCCAGAAACACCCCCCACCTTCTCCCCCTTCCTCTCCACCTCACAGGTCCAACCTCTTGGGAACAGGAACCACGTTGGACGTTTCCTCATCCTTTGCAGCCACTTGTTCTTGGCCCCCCAGGTCCAGCAGGTTCCCCTGGGTGAAGCACCAGGGCCTTTTGCCCTGAGTTTTTTTCCCTGCTCCTTTATGCACACACTGGGAAATCCAAACTCTATTTAAATATTAACACAACCGTGTCAAGGGCAGGACTGGGGGTTGGGTTTTTTTTTAACCAGACCCCAGAAAAAGCCACTTTTTACCCCCTGAACTGCTCTAACCTCAGCTGTTTGTCCCAGTGAGGACTCCAGGAGGCATTTCCAACACTCACCAGCACCAACTCATCAGCTTCATGCCCAGGATGTCCCTGAGCCCACTCAGGGTGTCCTGCTGTCCCCAGGGGTTTTGGGAAGTGTTGCCTCTCAGTGGTACCTGCTGCCACAAGGAGCTGCTCGAGACCCCAACTCCAGCCCTGGGTCCAGTTCTGGGGTCCCCAGCAGGAGCTGTTGGAGCCCAGAGGAGGCCACAGGAGGTGTTTGTTCAACACCAGGTTGGATGGGGATGGAGCCACCTGATCTAGAGGTTGGAACTAGATGATCTGTGAGGTCCCTTCCAGCTGAAAATGTTCTATGGTTCTATGATCCCAGGGCTGGAGCAGCTCTGGGACAGGCTGGGAGAGTTGGGGGGTTCAGCCTGGAGAAGAGAAGGCTCCAGGGAGACCTTAGAGCAGCTTCCAGTGCCTGAAGGGGCTCCAGGAAAGCTGGGGAGGGGCTTGGGACAAGGGCAGGGAGGGATGGGATGAGGGGGATGGATGAAAACTGGGAGAGGGAGATTGAGGTGAGACATGAGGAGGGAATTCTTTGGTGTGAGGGTGGTGAGAGCCTGGCCCAGGTTGCCCAGGGAAGCTGTGGCTGCCCCATCCCTGGCAGTGTTGAAGGGCAGGTTGGATGGGGCTTGGAGCAGCCTGGGCTGCTGGGAGGTGTCCCTGCCCATGCAGGGGTGGGCCCGGATGGTCTTTGAGGTCCCTTCCAACCCAAACCAGTCTGTCCCAGTGGAATCCAGCAGGCTGCTTTCCCTGCTGCACACCCACCAGCAGCAGCTGCCTGGGCAGGGCAGGACCTTGGTCTCTCTGGTCTCTAAATGTCCCTTTGTCACTTGGCCCGAGGGAGGGGACAGCAGGACCTGTCCCACAGGGATGGGGGGCCCAGGGTGGCTGATTGACTCTGGACAGACCCCCAAAGGGCACTGGGGAGGGGGCTCAGCAGCCCCTGCACAGCAGGGGTCTCTGCACAGCCCCCCACACCCACCCCTGGCTGGGTCAGAGCTGTGGGGAGAGGTTCAGCACCCCAAAAACCAGCCACATCCTCTCCTGCCTCTGCCTGTTTCTCTGCTGGCCATGGGGGGGTGGTGGTGGGGGGGTGTCAGAGCCCTGAACCCCCTCTTCTATCCCCAGAGACCCCCCCAGGCCTGCCCAGCACCCCAAAGCAGTTGGTTGGCACCCCACAGACCCCGTGGGGAAAGGGGGGTCTCAGAGCCCTGGGACACCCACCACCCCCAGCTGGGCATGGCAGGGGGTCCCACTTGCTGCTGTCCCTGGGGGGTCTCTGGGGATAGAAGAGGGGTCTCACCTCCTCCTCCTGTCCCCATTAAGGTCTCTGGACATGGCAGGGGGGCCCACCTGCTCCTCCTGTCCCCATGGGGGTCTCTGGGCATGGCAGAGGGTCCCACCTGCTCCTCCTGTCCCCATGGGGGTCCCTGGGCATGGCAGAGGGTCCCACCTGCTCCTCCTGTCCCCATGGGGGTC